GCATGTGTCCTGACCGGGAATCGAACCTTGACCTCCTGGTTCATAGGTCAATGCTCAACCACTGAGCCACGCCAGCCTAGCAGCCTTTACCCTTTTAATGCTGCTGCTGGTGAGGGAATTGGGGCATGTACATGGAAGATACACAGCTGAATAAAGGGCAGTTAAAATCCACAGGAGCAAAGATAATTTAGGTTTTAAAAAGTATCTAAGATTAATTGAAACTGGAGACTACTTTTAGGTACTTTTGGGTACAAAGACCCTGTGTAGTCTGTGGTCCAACTGAATGTTACTCATTGAAGGCCAAGGAGCAATGTGTTGGGAAGGGACCTGAATCACGCTTGATGCTTTGAACACTATTTCTGACAGCATCAAAGAAAACTATTTAGTGGGGAGGATATGACCCATGTGGCCAGGATTCAGTATAGAGACCCATGAGTAGGTTGATTGAAAAGCCTTTTAATCTCAGCGGGAAGAAGATGCTTAGAAGGGAGAGAAACCTAACCCCTGACAGGGATGTGCTGATGAAAGGTCGCTGCTAGTATCACTTTCTTGGCATGGGGAGACCAAACCAAGACAGTCGGAAGGCTTGATCTATGTGGGTCAGCAGTTACTGGGGAGAAATGAGAATCAGGAGGCTCGTTTGATTGACAACAGAATTAACCGACTGTGCCGCATGAATGAAGGGAAGAGATTCATATGAATTCTGAGGAGCCATGCAGGTAAGGGAGGAGTTGAGAGTTCTCTAAGAAAAGCAGCTAGGCCAGGTCATGGATCGGGGAGGACCCACATGGACATTTAATCTGAGCAGGAGTCCAGTTTTAAAAGGAAAAACGTAGCTATCAAAAAGGTAATGGAAGAAAGGCTTTATTTCCCTGGTAACTATTTTTCTAGTTAAACCAGTTGAGAGGGTTCATAGAAGGACACCGAGATTTACTGGACAATAACAGTCCCTGAAAGAGAGACTTTGATTTGTAGGATCAGCTGGGATCAAAGATGGGACGGACAGATCTAGTCTAGGCTTGGAAAGAGCTGCTGTAAATCTTGAATATAAGCGAAGAGGATTCACACCGATTTCCTTTCTGGCAGTGTGTGGGAACTCTGCTGTGCCAATTAAGCGCATTGACTTCATGGGATTTCAAGTAGTATGCCATCTTCAAATTAAAGTATTAGCCAAAGTACAATAAAACCAAAGTTTTCTCCTTGCCTCAAATGAAATATGAAAGAAGTCAAAAGTAGAGCCTACTTATTAGATGAAAATTGTCACAAAAGAATTGTTGGAATAAAAAAAGAGTCTTCTAGTGCCTTTTATCTGCAATTGCTACAATAAGTATCGTGTCTTTACAAAAGGGGTAGCCCCACGCTTGCTTTGGCAGCACATGCACTGAAAGGGGTAGCCTCATCCACATATTATGGACAGTTTTCCAAATAGTGACCACAAAATGAGGAAACTAATTGTGTTGGTGCTTTTGTGCCACAAAATTGCCAGGGAAGGGAAAGAGGTAGCTAATGTCTTAGGGAATTCGGAGGAGTTCTCAGCTACGTAAGTTTATCAGGAGCAAACATTATGAAAGGGTGTTTCCTGCCGTTGCCTCAAGGAGCTTCCCTATTTCAGTATTTACCCTTAAGCCAAGTATCTTCCTTAAGACTTTCCTCATTTCCAAACTCAGATGCATAAAGAGGGTATCAGATTTGCTCCTTGATTACAGAACAGGCGTGAGGAGTTGGGAGCGTTGGCGTGAAGCCAGTGTGTTATCAGCCTGCCTTTCCTACCCAAAGGTTTTAGAACTTCACAGATAGGACACCAGCCTCTTGAGCTGGCCATGTTTGTGACTCTTTAGTCTTTAACTCAGAGGGGCACCCATAGGGAGAAGATCTTCAGCTTTACCTGGGATGCATTTTCACCTGGTCACTTCCGTCAAAGGGTTCTGTCCTTTTAATAAAATACTGAGTGGAGTGTGAGGGTCTTCCTTCTGCAGTAAGAGGAACCAGGGCACCTGAGTCAAGCCACCAGTATCCACTTCACCCAGAACTTTGAGCAAAAATACCCGGGAGAGAAAAGGTTCTCCAGTGTAATTCTGGGTATCCTCAACCCAGCAGTTGATCCCTTCTGAGGGGTGGGAGTGTTGAACCCCTGGCCCTCACTGCTCCCAGGCTAACGTGCCAGTGGTGCAAAATGTGCCACCTCTTCCGGTAGGTCATATCTGAGCAGAGGGGTTGTGATGAAAGCAGAGCCTGGAAATGCATACAGTGGACCCATTATAATTCCTCCCCAGGCGTCTTGATTCTACAGGGCTCCCTACAGGGAAAGCTGTTCACTTTAAGACGGGGATTGGGAAAGCACCTGGCACTTGTCTGCTGGGCAGCGGGTTCCCTATAAATTCCAACTGACCTTCCCTTTCCTCCTTTCTTCCTCTCAGCGTGATGTGGTGGTAAAGCTCATGGGCTAGAGAGTCAGAGCGGAGTTTGAATGCCACGTACGAGTTACTTAGCTTTTCTGAGCCTCAGTGTCCTCAATGGTGATGGCATTTCCCACCTTAAAGGATGGAGGCAAGGGCTGCATGAGGTAAAACACGAGCCCCTGGCTCCTTGTAGTTGCTCAGTGGGCGGTGGTGCCCCTCTTCCCTTCTTTGCCTTAAAAACCTCATTTATATCTGTATCTGAACTGGTCTTAGGGGGGCTGACCCGTGCAGTCATCCTGGTTTAAAAACACAAATGGTATTGAATAAAGCTAACATCTACCAGAGTAGGTGCACCAGGCTTCATAATAGAAATTAAGACACTTATTTCAGTGCACAGTCAGCTCTGCTGTAATGTGTATTCCTAAAAAGCACCGTGCTCTGTACAATCACACTGAAACCACAGGGCTTATGGGAAAAATGGGTTGTGGGCAAAAATTTGTCAGTGACACACACAAAAATAGGAACCTAACAGTGATGGCAGCACAGTTTTACACATGTTAAACGGTTGAGATACATAACATGACAATAAATATGGCACGTTTCCCATGAGAAGACCTGAAGTTTGCTGTGGAAGCCAGTGTGGGAAGGGTTGGAGTTTGTGGGTGTTGTCCCGAAGTTGTGCAAGGAGTATTATCTGAAATCAGGTGGGCGTTGTAACGCCAGATGGGTGTGGTATATAAGGTGGTAAACTGAAGTAAGTGGTAGGTGTGTGGGTTTTGTATTCCTATGTGACTGGGTTTAGCTGGGGGAAGTCTTCTGTGTTCACCTCGTGTTTCACAAGGGCAAAATCATACGTAAGCAAACACAAAATTTGCATTATGCTCAAATTGTTTCATCATGTATCAATCATGTTGGAATAGATCTGCATTTTCAAAACAAGTGTTTCAGCAGAACTGACTGTATCAGCTTCTTGGAAAAGGTCTCCTTCTCCCTAAAGAGAAGTAAGTAAAATCAGTGTAAACCATAAAAACTAATGGGACCATTAATATCTTTTAGAAAGTGGTCATCATTTTATTAATGTAAATTTTTGCGTTCTTTATATATTGGTTACTATATCCTGGGTAAGCAGAGTTACCATCAGCTTGTTGAGTGTAGGAATAATTGGTAGGGTCGGGATGGGTGGCCCTTGGCTGTACTTTGTCATGATTTTGCTTGTGGATTATCTCTTTATTTCATCTGCTACCTTGTTGTTCCTCTATTAGCACAGATGAGCCACGCTCAGCACCCCAATCTCATATTCACTGACACACAGACTTATGAGTAGAGCAGTCAATAAATAACAGTATGCAGTATTTCTTTGAGTCACCCAGATCTCTCTTAAAGATTCTCTGTAGCCCTAGCTGGTTTGGCTCAGTGGATAGAGTGCCGGCCTGAGGACTAAAGGGTCTCAGGTTTGATTCCGTTCAAGGGCACATGCCCAGGTTGTGGGCTCGATCCCTATTAGGGGGAGTGCAGGAGGCAGCCTCTCAATAATTCTCTCATCATTGATGTTTCTATCTCTCTCCCTCTTCCTTCCTCTCTGATATA